TATCAGTCAGAATTAAGAACAGGGTAAGTTATCTGCCATAATAAATGCGTGTTGCAGTTAATGATGGAGGCTTTACGTCTGCGTTCGTGGCATCTACACGGTGCGAGCATTTTCGTCTTGAGTAGTCAGGAAAACGAAATCTACCCGTAGCGCCTTTGTTATAGACGTTCTCGGACAACTTGATCGCTATTGAGTGTAGACGTAATGGATCAAATTGATTGAACTGCCAACCAGTTAGCCATCCTAACACCTTGATTACTCGCCCATCCTCTTATGCAGAAACCTGCCCTCCTCGAAGTGCTTGTTATGAACAAACCGGAATGGCCTTACCTTACCTATGGTCTCGTGGCTATCGCATTGTCAGGGATCGCACTTCCTGCTTTCTCCTTGGTCTATTCGGAAATTTATAACGTAAAGATGTCATTTTATGCCATTCTTTACCCTTTAAAATTTTCATAGCAGGATTCCTTATTAATTCAAATGACATTTAAGGCAAGTCATATTTCGAAAGCATTATAATTGTTTCTGGTGCATTACAAGACATTATTCCACAAGTTATCATCACGATTTTGCTAATAACATTTTGTAGATTAGGGATGCTATGCACATTCCAGCTCTCTCTTCTCTTATTTACAGCTTTTCCCAATGACTGATCCCCAGAACAAAAGGAGTCGAGCGTCCTTTCTGTGCGGCATTTTTGCAATGCTGGGATTTTTACGACTATTTCTTACGGCGAGTGGAGTAAGTTTAGTAGGCAGGGCGACATTATACAGTCTGCACGGGATAATCATCTCCTAATGAGCTGTTTTGAAGACCTCATGTTAGGCAAATCATTTCTAATGAAAGGAGATCCATTTCGTGTATGATAATTCCCCTCCTACATCAATGATTTTGGTAAGATGAACTATTCAACTGTGCCAAAGTGCTATCGGATTAATGTAGCTGCTTTGAGGATTGTTTGCCACATTTTTGCCATAAAGCGGTAGTTATTTTTCTATAGTGGGATTGATACAGGCAGAAATCATCACATTTGCTTTAGAACGCCGCGCTTGGTGTTTCTGGTGCTCGTCTAACAATGCGTGCTAGGCGACTCTTCTTCAAAGCCATACTGAAACAGGTAGGTCGATGAACATTATAACGGTTTTCGTTTTATTTCTAAGTGTTTTTTTTTAACTCATTTCCCACTTGGCCGCTCACATATACAGAGGGGTCTCTACAGTTGTGCTTTGCTTTGTGGAAGAACACTCCCTCGGCATTGGCTTGCCATTTGCAGGAAGTGGCGTGGTTCGATCGGCCGGAGAATCAGGCTGGCATTCTGACTGCTCGACTGGCAACTGAAGTGCAGAGTCTGCACCGAGTCACTGGAACTCAGTTGAGCACTCTCCTTGAATGCCTCTCTCTCGTGATCTCGGCGTTAGTGATTGCCTTCTACTACAATTGGGCGCTAAGCCTCATCGCCTTAGCCTTTGTACCTGCCCTATTCTTCGCTGGCACACTACAGGTACTGCTGTTCTATTATTTGCCAGAACTGTAGATTAACACACATAAGGTCTATGGCTCCAACAACGGAGGTTTGTCTGTAGAGCCATGGGAAATTGCAAGAAAACATACATTGGTTCTTAAGATTAACAAAAGTAAAAGTTTTCCTGTAAGGTTTCGTACAAATAGTTTAAAGGTTTGCTTATACCAGTTTCTACTTGATGTACCAACAGAGTCCTGACAGTGATATTAGAACTGACTTTTTCTTAAGTTATAAATGGGGAATGGGTACCATTGCAATGGTAAATCGTACGGTTTACACTTCTACTACTACATTATTCTAGACGCGTCAAATAAGTGGAGGCGGTGGGCAAAATACGATTGAAGGAGCAAACATCGCACAGGAAGCCTTCACTTCTTACCGTACAGTTGCTGCATTCGGGCTGGAGCAATTTACCTACGAGAAGTTCCGCACAGCCTCTAAAAGTTCCAAGAAGTAAAGCATGCTTAATACACCAAGTTCTGAAATTTAAGTTTGAGCAACAAAATTAAGGATATTGTGCACCAATCAGTGTTAATGCTGTTCTTAAATTGTAGATCCCGTTATGGACAATCGGTGCTTTTTGCCGTCGTACACTGCTTGGCTAACGGAACCTTCTACTTTTTGATTGCTGCTTATTATTACACTGCATCCTACCTTTACGACCGCGGCAAAGTTGACATGCCAACAATATTTAGGTTAGTTAATCATCGTCTCTCTCAGTGCTTGCATCAAAAGTGAGGTAGAGCAAAGCAAATGACATCACACCTTCTGCCATATCCTACCACCATGCCCCCTATCCCTCGTCTTTTTCGCCTCCTTCTCCACCACCTCCTCCTCCTCTACCACGCTCGCTCGTTGCACATAATCCATCGGCTTCACATCCAGTCCTACAATCCTACGATCCTGTGATTGTCATGGGTGAAGCTATGTCAGACCAAAAAGCAAGACGAGAATGAGAATGAGGTAGAATGTCACCAATCTCCTGACAACTTGTAGCCTTAGCGACATGAGGTCTTGTGCTGTCGAGCCCAGTAACAACGGCCACTCGTTAGTCTGGCTGACTGCCAGAGGCTCACTAACATCGTGGAAACCAAAACGCGGGTGGAAATGAGGTCAGAGGGGTGAGCGTCAACAATCTCAACCACGCCTACACAATGAACGATTTTGTCCACACCGTTTTTGCCTTGAAGGAGTGGAGTGGGACTCGAGTCACGAGTCATTCAGCAAACATCAACAAGGCACACCTCTGAGGGAAGCTTAATGCTGCGTTTTTTGAGCGGTTCATTAGCACCACTGCAGCCTTGGAACCGAGTTCACCTAACTGTGGACTCCTTTTTGTCGCCTTGTAACATTATACTAAACTCTTCGTTTTGAAACCAAGACAGCCTCTTATCTGCTAAATAAATTTTTAGATGAAATTTCATCATTTGAATGCAGTTCAAAGTGAGGGAGAACTCATGATTTGGGTTATTTATCTTCTGAAAATAAAGGTTGTTTCAATTTTTTAGAATATTCTCTGCTGTCAACTTTGCCTCTCAGGGTCTTGGTAGGGCTGCCGGTTATGCGCCCGATTTCGCGACCGCTTCACAAAGCATAAAAAAGACTCTCGAATCCATTCATCGAGAGACAAAAATGGATGTCAGCAAGGGCGACTATCCACCCAATCCACCAGTGGGCATGTTTGAATTCAAAAATGTCTACTTCCGCTATCCCACCAGAAGGCGCAACCCCATATTGAGGGTGCATGTTGTTTTGCTTTGTGCTAACATTTTTTCAACTTTAAATTTGTCTCTTTGTGCGGTGATGTAGGTGCATTATATTTGACCTTAGTCTTACACTTCACTTATTTGTAGACAACAGAGGTCATCA